AGGAGGAGGAGGAGGAGGAGGAGGAGGAGGAGAAGGAGAAGGAGAAGAGAGATGAAATGATCGAACTGAGTGTGCACCAGAAAGTGTGCTGCACGCACTTCACGTGAACATTCTCGTTTCACCCTCTGGCAAATCTCTAGTGTATCAGCTTTCCTAGCTTATCATCAGGTGCTATCCTTTCTTGTCATTTTACAGATCATACTGCAATCTTCATTTTTCCAACGAAAAACAAAGGGGTTAACCAAAAATTTCAGTCCAACAACCACATAAAAAGAGGCTCAACATTATTACCAGGAAAATGTAAATCAAAACTGTAACGAAATGCAAAATCATACTAAGTTGGCGATAATCAAAAAGCCAGGTAAAGTGAAGTCCTTAAAGGAGAGAAAAAGCTACAGACACTTTGGAGTCCAGCCTGCTGCTTCTCAACAGTTACATGCAGTTACACCATGACTCAGTAATACCCCTGGTATTTACCCAAGAAAATACAAATACACGCTCACACGAGACCCACACGCGCATGTGCACGGCTGCACAGTACCCAAAAGGTGTCCATCAACTACTAAACTGGTAACACACAACGAGGTTTACCCAAACAGTGAACTACTAATTTGGTCATAAAAAGGAAGTGACATATGCTACAACATGATGAATGCTTCATGTTGTTAAATGAAGGAAGACAATCACAAAAAGTAACAATAAAAAGTCTTCACACATGTCAAATGTACATAACTGGCACAGAACAGGCAAAGCTAGAGACAGTAGCACTGTTTAGGGCTGGAGGACGAGGGGCAGGGGGAACAGGGAGTGAGACAACTAAATAACACAATTTATTTTGAGGCAATAAAAATATTCTACAACTGAGAATGCTGACAAATATACAAATCTGTAAACGCATTAAAATCTACCGAATTGTATAAATTGGAAATTGCATAGTTTGTGAATTACACCTCAATAAAGCTACTATTTTAAGAATAAAATACCAGTTGCATAGCTAGTAAAAATTTAGGCTACCGTTTTTTTTGTTTTGTTTTTTGGCGGAACCAGGGATTGAACTCAGGCCCTGTGCTTGCCAGGGAAGCACTTATTCCACTGAGCCCTCTCCCCGGCCCCCAGGCTACCATCTTAATCTGGTCAGCCTGAGTTCAGTCTATGTTGCTTCTACCATCACTACGCTGCCAAAGGGCCAGGGCTAAAACCAAGGTATCTTGATTTATTACATTTCCACTTTATAAATAAATGACAACTGATTGCAATTTAGCAGAAACTTAGGAAAAGCATGCTCTTAATGATAAAAATCTAGCAGTGTTTTTCAAATGAAGTATACCTGAATTAAAACCGCAGAATGTGTTAAAGCATCATTCAACATGGTGAGCACATTTGATGTAGGAACCACACCAGGATCATGACCCCAAGATGTTATGAGCAATCGATCATAACCCTATTGGAAAGAAGGGAGCAACACACAGAATGACAGTTAGAAACAAGAACAAAATTGAGAAAGTTATCTGTAAATTGTTCACCAGGTTCTACCCTCAAAATTAAAACCATTTAAAAAGTCCCAGGCTAAGGGTATAGCTCAGTGGCAGAAAACTTGTATAGCATGGGAGTAAACATGGGGTCCAGTCCCACGATCACACATAAAATATAAAATAAAATGGAAGAAAGGAAGGAAGGAGAGAAAGAGAGCAAGCGAATGCATTCCATACATACCTGGAATATGTCTGGCAGTTTTCGAAGTCTTGTACCTTTTGACAGTAAAAGAGATGGTGGTCCTTGCCCAGTGATGTGGTAAATATACATTTTAAACCAAACAGAACTGACTTCTGGAATAGCTGGTCCAATGTGCTATAGTCACAACACAGGTAAGTAAAAGTTATCATACTTATCTCTAGAAGCCAAATTTCATACATAACGAAATACAGCAAATGCCCACCCAATTTCCATTGTCATTATCCATGAAAATAAACACTAGGTGCTCCCCCAAAACAGTTTCAGCCTTATTTGCATTTAAGGAGGCAATCATACCACTGCATTAAGAAGCTGGGCTGTGGAGTGGGCTGCACAGGTCTGAATCTGGCCTTCAGCCTTTATCACCCTAACAGTTACTAAGGCACCCAGAAAGTTACTTAAGCTCTCTGTGCCCCATTTTGCCTAATCTATAAAAGAGCAATAAATATAAGATTGTTTCAAAAGGCTTAAAATACCACCTGGCACATAATAAGCTTTGTAATAAAGTATTAGCTGTTGCTATCATTAAAAACACGTGATGCTCCAAAAGAGTACTATCCTCCTGCATCCACTTTTCCATCTATTCAGACAGCTCATGGATTTGGTACCTAGAGAACAATACAAAACTTGACCAAATGCAAATCTAGGACCGTTCCCGGTGAACACTGTGTGAGGCCAACATCCGGTGCGGCAAAGAGAACAACAGGAACTACATGAACAACTTCCTACAAGACACTTGCTTTCTTCTACACCACTAAACCCTGAACCTCTTGGACACCAGGACACATGGAGTAGCAACTCCATCTCCACACTGAAAATGATACCTGCCACAACTTCCTGGCTAACTACACACACACACACACACACACAAATTGCTACTTACTTGTTTTTTAAGAGACCAGAAAACTTAAATAAATAAGAGACCAGAAGTAATTCTCACATGTAAATTCTATCTATTGCTAGAACTCTTACTTTGAAATACTACCTTTTCTTTCCATCGCAGTCCCACTTCTAAAGCATTTGCTTTTTCCTAAACTTGTCCCTCAAAATGACCTAGGCATCCTCTGGAACACCCTAAAACATTCTCTTTAAAATACTCTGCAGAATAAAATGTTAATAATGTGCCACAAGTTACTACATACATAAATATACCCATTATATTCACAATATGAATACAACCTCATCTTACAACACCATGAAATACAAAACTGCTAACTCAGTGTTTTAAATATTTAGTATCCACAAGTTGAGAACGAAGAAAATAAAAGCATTTTCTTAGTGATGTGACAGCAGTACCACGAGGACCTTCCAGGCGGGTCTTCACCTGAGGGGTGCAGCTGCTGATGGGCCGGATTTCATTGGTGAGAGGCGCCATGGAGACCAACAGTGTGTAATTTTTGTTTAAAACTCTGCTACAAGTTGCAGGATCCAAACCCAGAAGGCTTTCACAGCGTAAGAGGTCCAGGGGAAAACCTGAGTTGTGATTGAGCACAGAGAATAAAAGAATGACTATGCAAAACAAAAATGTAGCAAATCAATGGCTGATAAGTGCATTGAGACTTTAAATACTTTTAAATGGTAAGATAGCTCAATCAAGCAGTACCAGATTTCCTAAGAAAGCCACTAAGACACTTTAAGGTTTAAAGTCTACATTTTTATTCCCTAATCTAGAAAAATAGCTGTCACTTTAACAAAATGACTATTTCACCTTCCTCTCACTGTCCGTCCCCAGCCACTGGGGCATACTGTGGTACCCTAAGTGCCAAGGAAGCCCTATCCTTACCCAGTTTCCAGTGTCTACAAAGAGAATCATAAGGCAGCTCTGATTTTACACAAGGGCAAGTGTCTCTCATGGAGAAATCTGCGTTCTAGACAGTTGGTCTATAAGGCACTTGGCATGTATTTTAAGTATTCTTCCCCTAACCCCTTAGGAAAACACACATCTATGGCTCTCTGAAAAGAGACATTTAAGATGGAAAGAAACTTCACACAGTTGGCCACTTCTCCCTTCAAATAAGAATGCACCTAAAGGAGGCAGTGCTCAAAGCCTGGAGCGCTGTGCACAGCTAGCGCCAGAATCTTTGGTCTCAAGCCTTTGCCCAGGAAGGAAACCTTGCTAACAAGTACAAGATCACATCAGATCTCTCTGTGTTGCCAGGAAATAAGAAACAGCCCAAAAATGAAAGTGCTGAGGCACGTCACAAGGAGACAGCAGCCAGTTGGAGCACAAAAATAACCGAGACAGTAATGACTAACTACAGTCCACTGGAAAAAGAGGAATTCATAAATTGACGCTGAGAAAGAGAATACCTCATCATCTCAGCTGTTAATGCTGACGTTTGGGGGAAAAAAATACCAATCTGTAACTGTCATAGTATAAGCTAAGAGCTACCAATGGCGAAAAATTGTTATGGAAGAAACTATTTGCATGATATCAAAGTATCTTCCCATTAACTCATCAAAATTAGCATCACCAATGAGAGGAAGATAAACATCATGCTCCCATCTGTGGAGACATGGATACAGTGTCTACTCCTGCTGAGGCAGTATACTATGCCAGAATGAGAAACTTTTCAGAAAGACCAAAAAAAGATGGGAGGTTTGAGGACTGTTGGGAGCCAATAATATTTGGCCCACCTAGCAAGCACAAGGTCCTGATACAAAAAAAAAAAAACCCTCACCACATTCCTAGATGCCCTTCACCCTTCAAGACTTCATACTATTAGAGATCTCTACGTGGAAACTACAGACCATTAGTTCAAAATCTTGATTTGTCACAAGATTAAGGGACTATGAGGACAACAACCATATCAGGATCCATCAACACATTAAAAAAAACTATTACTACTTCTATCAAGAGATTATCTAGCTACTTTAGGTAAAATACTTAAGTGACTAATATATAACATGAATAGACATTGTTTATTATCTTCACACAACAGAATGTGTCATTCTTTAAAGGCAAACTTTAGAATTTATTTATTTTCTGCTTATTAGTTTGTTTTGGTGGTACCAGGGAACAAACTCAGGACCTTGTGCTTGCCAGGCAAGCACTTATTCCACTGAGCTGTCTCCCTGGCTTTAAATTTAATTTTTGGAGACAGAGTCTCATCATGTAGTTCAGATCAGCCTTGAACTCACTCTACAGCCCAGACTGGCCGTGACCTCCTGGTGATAACTCCTGCCTGTTGTTGGCCTCCAAAGGGCTAGGATTAAGGTGTGTGCAGCCACACACAACAGTCTTAAACTATGATGCTCCCTAACTTAACCAAATTTTGGCATCTGTTCACCTCTCAGAGATCACAACTCTTGGCCAGCTGACAGCTCATTTCTAAATCCCATCTACCTATATGATCTCTCCAACCCTTTTCTGTATGGACTAAACATGAAAAACCACAAATATCAGTAGCACAAGAGAAGAAAAAACAAAAGACAAGCAAAAAATTCACAAGGTAAGCCCCTAGCTATTAATTCAGTGTGCTCTCTACACCAAAACATTTTAACTGAGTGATAACCAAGTGAGCATGATTTTCGAATGTCTGAGTAAAAAGCCCCACACAATCCTGTCATCAAAACTAAGTACACTTATCATACCATGGTTAGGTTGCTCTGGCTGAGCGGTCTGCGCAACTAAATCTCTATTGTGACGCAGAAACAGTATTGTGTTTCTCAGCGTAAGCGCATGATCGAAGTATCTCTGTGCTTCTCCTTCACCAGTGCTCTGAACCTAAACCAAGAGAAAACAGATTTTACAACACACACCCATGCTAGGCCATTCATTCTCTCTAATAAATGACAGAACTACATGGACATTATTAAAAATCAGCAGATTAAATGTGTGTGTAGACAACGCTAAAACAATCTCAATCTCAGCTGAGTTTCCTGTTTTACTATCTTTGATGATAAAAGAAGTTATTCCACTAAGACTAACTACAGCAACTAAATGCTACTAAATCACATCATTCTATGGTGTATGTCGTCCCATTCATGATCTCATTAGAATACTTACAAAATTTAAAACCTGTATCTTGCTTCATCCATAGAAGTTGCAAATCCACTAATTATACTTCTAAAATTTTTACCTGTTCATTCACAACGTTGTATCATCAGGTACAAGGTACACTAAGTAAGTTACTCAACACAGCTGATTACCACTGCTGAAAACACAGCCCAAGCTGACTGAACAAGGGTTTACTGAGTGTCTCCTGTGTACTACGACCTCTCTAGGCGACAAGGGAGGAGTTACAGACCAAAGAGAGAAAACCGCTGACTGTAGCAGCCCTACATTTAACAAATGTTTTTGCCCGTTGAGTCAGTAATCTGTTCACTATGTAAAAACATGTATGTGCCTGGTGTAAACACAGAAAAACATCCCAGATATAAACACAGAAAATGGAAGTAAAAGTCTACAGGGCGTAAATAATTAGGTTTGCATTAAATTAACAGATCAAACATGTTTAATTAAGATCAGGCTTCTTTTTGGATATTTTTAATTCAAACAGAGTCTTGTTATGTAGTTAAGGCTGGCCTTGAACTCATGATCCTCCTGCCTCTCCTTGCCAAGTGCTGGGATTACGGGCATATGCACTACACCCAGCTAAGAAAATATTTTTAGAACTAAACTTCACCATAAAAGGCTTCCCCCACAATAACTGGGGGGTGGGGGGGACAGATATAATATGAATGAATAAAAACACAAAAATTGTCCTGGAATCGGCTATAACTACAAAAAGTCTAATTGATGTAAGAAAGATAAAAATCAGGGAAGCGGGCTGGTGAGATGGCTCAGTGGTCTAAAGCAGCTACTTAGAACAAGCTAAGCTAAACAAAGCACAGGGACCGCAGTTCAATCCCCAGCACCACATGCCAGCCAGCCCGCCCCCTGGTGGGCTGAGCTGGCCACACACACATAAATAAAATTAAAAAATTAAAAAATAAAAAAAAAATCAGGGAAGCAAAACCTAGAATATGCAGAAACATAGAACATTAATAAGTAAAAAATGACACATGACAGGAAATAGGATTAGCAAGGTGGTAAAAAAAAGTACTAAAGAAATAATTCAAATATAAACATAGAACTAAAAGAGACAAATTAATAGCAAGAACTTTCTTAGATCTATTTCTATACGAAAGAAAGAATAATTCCATGGAGAAGCAACAATGAAAAAGCTATCTGGCTGTGCAGTTCATGTACAGAACTCATTACTAAAGCACAAAAGACACTCAAATTATTAATGGAGCAACGGACTTGGCCCACAAACTGTACACAAAGAGCAGAGGACAGAGTAAGATACTCAGGAATAAAAGCACACCAATCAAGGGCAATCACGTTTTAGAGCTAAGGAACACTGTGGCTGTACTCACAGGGGAAAAGGTAAGAGCAACTAGGGCTGATGTCTTCAAGACGCTACCAGGGACAGGGAGAGTGGACGGAAATATGATACCCAGGGACACCAATCTAGATTCAAGATCAACGGAACCAAAACTTCAAATAAAACTGCTTACAGAATGATCTTATACACCATAACAAAAGAAGAGGAAGGTTATTTTAGAAAAGTTTCAGTTTAAAAATATACACACAAAGATTTATATGCCCATTTCTCACTGTACCACATTTAGAGTTAGATAAGGCAGACACATCACGTTAAAAAGACAATCAAGAAATTCATTCATCCACTCAATGTTTCTAAGCCTAAATGTTTACCACAGTATTAAAGCAAGGAATGAGACAAAAATGAGCAAAAATATACCAAAAATCCCTGAGATTAGCATATCCATTGTCTAATCACGCGTGAAAAGGTTCCAAATGCCGTCAGCCCCAATATGCAACCTAAATTTACCTTTTCTAGTTCTATAAGAAAGCTGTCTAGAGACTCATCTGAGAGTTTGCCTACTTCAAACATTGTGACTGCGTGACTTTTCAAGTTCTGCAACAAAACAAAACAAAATGTTAAAGTTCTAGCTTTCCTTTTTCATACTATACATAATAGATTTATTTTATACTTTCTAATATATTTAAGCCTAAAAGGGGGTGAGATTAAAATCTGATTTTTAAATCATAAAAGCAACCCTCACTATAACTAATGATATACCCCAGTAGAATACAGAATAATCATAGTTATGTTTTTAAGAATAAATCTAGGGGCTGGGGAAATGGCTCCGTAGAATAAGTGCTTGCCTGGCAAGCACAAGGGCCTGAGTTCAATCCCCAGTTTCACACACAAAAAAAGAAATCTATTTCTCAGAAAACACATAAGAGCATTATATTGTTGATTAGGTTATTCTGACTTTAAACATCTTTGTACCGAAACAAGTATTTGACTTACTGGTGAAAGATTTCCCATCATTAAGAAGGCAGTAAGAGTTGAGTCAAATAAGAACGCGATGCGCTTTGTATAACCTGCAGACAGACTCAAACTGCTTATACTGGCTGTATCTGCTGAAAAAAATAATTTAAAACCATACAATGAAAACTATTGTCTGCTTATGATTTGGAATGAGAAAATATTTCATTTTAGCGTTATTGGGTAGCCACAAAGTAAACATTCAAATATACACAATATTATAGTCATAAGAGGTCCCAGTCATCTTGAAACACAAAGAAAATGGTTTTCATTTTTTTAAAGGCAATTATTCTTGCAATAAATTTCTTGAACACCAATAATAAAAACTTGAAAGTTGTCAGGTCAATGAGACCAACCAGTCTCACCCCTGTAAATGTGTCACTGTATTTGGTAGCAGGTAGAAATAGGAGAAGGTCTATGCCATGCTCCTCTCCCTCCCAAATGAGGCAGGGGCAGCCACCTCGCACACTGTGCTGCCTCTTTTGGCAAGTGCCCTACACTCCTCCTGTGGGCTGACATGACCTCACTGCACTGACAGCAACTGACGTCATCAGCGTGAAGCCGCCCCACACCCTCCAGCCTGCCTACGGCTCATCCTCTTCACACCCTACAACACGGTAACTACTCCTCTCTACAACAGTTTTCTTGGTTGCACTTCCTCTTTCTCCTTGGATTTAATTTTCAAAAACAAGTGGAGCTTGGTGGTCTGAAAGCTATCCCAGCACTCTGGAAGACCGAGACGGTAAGATCACAAATTCAAGCCTAGTCTGGGCAACTTAGTGACTTAACACCCTGTTTCAAATGAAAAGTACAAAGAAGGACTAAGGATGCAGCTCAGTGCCAACAGCCTGATTCAATCCGCAGTACCAAAAGAGAGAAAAAAGGAAACATTTTCTACTGATTCTACACCTCAAGACTTGTTAGCACTGTATCCAACATACAGATAAGCACTTGAAGACTGCAAAAGTCAATGAATTGTGAGGAGGTACATCTGGACAGATGCTGTGCCTACAGAGCTACTAAGTTAAAGAAGTAACTGCTCACCTGGGTCTTCCTGACTATTTGTATCTGTGTCAGTCGCCGAAGAAGCTTCTTGCACAGGGCTCCTACTCTCCCCACCATCCCATGACAAGAGCATCTTTTGTGGATCTAAAGTACTCCTATTAATGAAGAATACACTCACTTCAAAAAAAAATTACAGAAATAAATCTTACTTAAAAATACCTACTGAGGGGCTGGGGAGATAGCTCGGTGGTTTAAGCTCCTGCCTGGCAAGCACCAAGAACCCGGGTTCCATCACCAGAACCATGGCCACTGAAACTGGGCGTTGTGGTGCACATCTGGAATCCCAGCGCTGGAGAGGCTGCGACAGGAGGAGCACTACAAGTCCAAGCTGTGTAGTGAGATGCTGAACCAAACAAATATCTATATATCTATATACATAGATATATAGATATACATAGCTACTGAAGCCAGTAAATTTGAACAACTTACCTAAATCCAGTCTTAAACTCAAGTCTGAAATGGAGGCAAACCCCTAAAAATGCTCTTCCCATTGACCCCACAGCTTCTTAATTGACCCCACTAACTTCTTAAGACACATGGTCAGGCTTAAGGGAAACCCAAAATGCTACGTAAAATAATGTATGTGCTCTTTTCTGGATTAAGAGTAGTTTTCATCAGACTCTAAAGATCAACCATGGGCCGGCGAGATAGCTCAGTGGTCTGAGTGCCTTCCTAGCAAGTTGAAAGACCCAGGTTTGATCCCTGGTACAGCATGCCAGGCCAGCCCTAGAACCCCAGGTGGACGCACCATGCCAGCCACCGAAACCGTATGGTAGCACACGCCTGTAATCCTAGCACTGGGGAAGCTGAGACAGGAGGATCACTACAAATCTGAGTAGTGAGACCCTGTACCAAATAAACAAATAAAAACAATATTTAAAAAAGGTTTTTAAAAAGAAGATTCATGATACACAAAATTTAAAATCACTAATATATAGGATTTTCCTCAACTGAAAGACTAAACAAATTTATGTAAAATTAAATTTCAAAAGAAAATTCTAATATAAAACTGAATAAGTGAGTTACTTTAATCTGTTTATAGATGGAACATTCTTCCAGGATGAATGAAGCTGATCCAAATTTATTACTTGTCCTTTCTTATGGGCAAAACCCAATCGGCAGTACATTGAAACAGCATTCTGAAAGGAAGATAAAGAAAGTTAGCATCTAAAATAATCCAGACATTAGAATATTTGTCAAGAAAAAAATATCAAAATGCTTCTATGATTCTCAAACATAACCTGATTAGAAAAAGTTTTCTAAAGGTCTGCTCCCCTTTCAGGTCTTGTGGGCAGGAGGAGGGTACTCCCACTTCTCTGGCCCTGCCCTCCCCAAATCTACTACTCCGACGAGCTGGTATTGTGACTCTTAACTGAGCTCACTACAAGATCCTGATCAGCCATCCTGCTACAGGGGCTGCTGCACCAGTTACCAGGGGCACTTCCATTCATCTGGTGTCATGTTCTTTCACCTCTCTGTAGAACCCCTTTAATGTGCACCCTCCCCAAAGCAGTTAGTAAGAATTTCAAAGCTTCTTTCTGTCATATCAAGATAAAAACCAACCAGTAAAATCCAGTCTGTAGGGACCGGGGAGACGGCTCAGTAGAATAAGCACTTGCCTGGCAAGCAGAAGGGCCTGAGTTCAATCCCCGGTTCCACCAAAAAAATAAAAAATAAGAAACAAACAAAAAAAATCTAGGCTGTACCCACATTACAACTGAAGAGTATAATTATTACGTACCTTAACTAGAGACAAGTCTATCTCAAGGACATTGGCAAGCTAGGAAATAAAATTAAAATTTATTTTTTCATTCTTAGAATTATCAGCACATTCCATAGTTGTAATAGACTTCTGTAATCATAATCGCAAAACTTGCTACGAATAACTAAAAGATAATAAATTTTGAACTCAGAACTCTTTTTATCACTAAGATTCTTTTCTTTTTTTTTGGTCTTTTTGAGACAGGGCCTATGCAGTTAGGGCCAGCTTTAAACTCACTTTGTAGCCCAGACTGGCCTTGAACTCCTGCTTCAGCCTCCCAAGAGTGCTGGCATTAAAGGCATATGCCACCACACCCAGCTATCTCTTAAGATTCTTTAAATATTACAAATTTAGGTAGTTACCATAATAATTTAAGATTCCTCACTCTAATTTTGTGTCATTTAAAATGACACATTCCTATGCAGGATCAATATACTTGACAATTCTTTACATGAAGAATAACAAAAAAGCTGATTAACCAAATTATAAATTAACGCCAAGAAAAATTGTATTAAGCATATGCAAGAATTAACTTATGAATTAATTAATGTGCCTGTGATATTCAGGCACATTAATGGTCTCTAAATCCCTCTGGATAGATTTTGTGAACGTTTTAATCATGTCATTAAGTAGTATTAATTATTCTACATAAATTTATCTTATAAGCTTGAGATTAATCTTTCATAAGATGTTGCCACACTTACCTCTGCAACGTTAGTGTGCTCATCTATTGAAACAAATATTTTATAGAGTAGAGTTTCAAAATAATCTCCCTGCACTCGATTCATCACAAAGCCTTCAAGGGGAGGAACTGAAATAAGCAAAACCAACTTTCTTAGTAAGACAACTTTACAAAACAAGAAAGTATAATTTAAATACCAGTTCAAAAGCAGAAGCCTTTCACTCTGAGACTGAGTACAGCTTTTGATTTATTTTATCCACTCCACAGCAAATTTTCTAAAACACCCGAAGTTAAGGCCACATACAGAGTAGCTGCACAAAGAGTACTTGGGACTTGGGAGATCACAAAACTGGCAGAGCGATGTAGTTTCCTGTGGAACTCTCAGAGTTACCGAGGTGGAAGCAACATTGGAAGGCATGACTCGGTGGATTAGCACAGGGCTGCTTTAGAGTGGGGAAGTTTACGAAGTCTGCATGTCTTTTTTTTTTTAAATGTACTTGGTACAGGGCTCAGCGTGCCTGGGGGTGGGGCTGGTGCAGTATGTGGTGCTGGGGATTGAGCCCCCATTCCTCCACTTTCCTAAGCAGCTATTTCACCAGCCCCTACTGTCTTAATACCTCACAGGCAGCTGGAGTGACCAGACCAAAGCAGAAAAGCAAAGAGCAGCAAGGAAGCAATTAGGTGGGTGGAAACACTGGCTCTCTGCCCTTCTCCATCACCCCCACTAAACTGAAAGTGGAGAAATTCACCCATCAGACTGCCACTCTTGCCACCAGCCACTGGTCATCTGCCCTTGCGCACGTTCTCCTGTGGAACCTCCTCAGAAGCCAGAGGTAAGGACTGTCTACAGGACGGCAGCCAGCCCCACCACTGCAGCCCTCCGGATGATCACTCATACTCAGATCCATCTCTGTGGCCCAAATGCTCTCTACTCGCCTCATCAGAGAGCTCTGCCCACCAACAATGAAGAAGGGTTATGCTTTCCCTTACCCCCTCCATGTACACAGCCCCCCTGAAAACACACTAGGAAAAGAGCACCTGTGCCACAGCGGAATTGGGTGGCCCTGTATGCTCCAGCCCTAACACAATTTAATTGCAACCAAAACCCAAGTTATTTCTAATAGTAACAATAAGAAAAAATTCAAGTGCCTAAAGTTAAGACACCAAAAAATTGCAGTGTGTGTATTCGTGATAAGCTATCTACAGTATTTTTTAGATCTAGCTTTTCTCATTTTGTTTTACTGCTAATATTTCCATACATGTAGAGATTTCTTAACATTTTGTTTTAGAAATAGTATAGAAATGCCATATTTAATATTACTCTTTTCCTACACTCTCAACCACTGAAAAATACAAATGGGTATTTACTGAATGTTCATTAACCGTTAGACTTTTGCCAATACTTCATATACACAATTTTACTTAATCCTCTTAATTTCATAAGTTAAATGGTAGTCTAATCACTTTTTTTAGAGATAAAAAAAACAAAGCAATAAGAGTTTAGACACTTTCCTAAGTTACATGAACTTATAGGCAAAAAAGGTAACTACAAAAAAGTAGGTAAGGCTCTAGTAAATACTGTTAAAATAAAAAGTATAAACTGGAGTGCCCATCTACATTAAAATAAAGTCACAGCCTATCTGGATAATAACAAAGGACGTGTTCATACGTGCCTGCACGCAGAGGTATACTTCAAGGACACACCAAAGACTTAACCATGCGTGCTGAGAAAAGACGTGAGCAGCCAGACACAACAGTGCAGGCAGGGTTCTTTTGCTTACATCTTTTTAGAATGTTGTATCATCATTCCCTGCTCAAAAATATGTTTAAAATAAGTAAACAGAACCAGGGATGTAGCTCAGCAGCACAGCCTCTGTCTGGCAAGTGCGAGGTTCTGAGTTCAATTCCTAGTACCCAAACAAATAAATAAATAAATAAATAAATAAATAAATAAAAGAAAATACCTTGGAATAACCAAGAAAATCGTAAAACCAGACTCCTAAATTCCTGGCCTAACCATAACTAGTTAAAAGTTACTCTAAATCACTACAACCAATAACAATACGACATCACTGGGGAAAAGGTATTAGAACCAATACAGAAGCAAATTCATTACCTAACAAAAATCATTTTTTCTATGCAGTAAATGCTAGCATTTATTTAAGTGCTACTCACCATCCAAATGGTTCTTGCATGGTGAATAGCATTTACCCAAGTTTGGTCCTTATTTGACACCAAATACTTTCAGACTACAGATTTGGATATAATATGTCAGTCATGGGCAATCGAGATAGCTCGGCAGACTAAGCACCTGCTTAGGCAAGTGCAGGGAGGTTCAATCCCCAACATCACATGCCCTGCCAGCCCCGCCCCCAAGTGGCACATGCCGGTGATCCCAATGCTGGGAGGCTGAAGACAGGAGAATCACTAAAAGTCCAAGCTGCGTAATGAGACCCTCTACAAAATACATAAAAAATAAATGATAAAAAAATAATATATCATAGATATAACCCTTTTAAGCATAGCAGAAATCAAGCAGCTATAAAAGCAGGTATAAAATATACAGTTAGGAAGTATCATGAATGGTAGAATACTTTTAACGACAGAGCCTTTCAAGAGTATTCCCTTTAGGGCCAGGGAGATGGCTCATGGAATAAGTGCTTCCCTGGCAAGTGCAAGGGCCCGAGTTCAATCCCCGGTTCCCACAAAAAAAAAAAAAAAAAAAAAAAAAAAAATTAGCAAGAATATTCCCTTTAATGGTGACAGATAGGGTGAACTCAGCAGTTACAGTTCCCTGGAGCTGCCCTTCTAAGTGCCAATTACTAAGTCTGGTTTAGCAAATACATCACTTTAGTATAGCAGCCACCCATTCAGCCCTTCTGTTTCTTTCCAATGAGTTTGGAGTTGATGAGAGACAATTTTCAAACGGCCAGTCAGAATGGACTGAAATGAACAAATCAAAGACTGATCGTTCCACGTGGACCTCAAATAAGCCAGTGTCAGTTCATCAGGTAAGACAGGAGACTAGAGTAATGATTTCATATTTTCCAACCGTGACAGACAGCCACTACCACTCTCCGTTTAATGAAAAATTTTCAAATTTAAAACTAAGCAAGGCTTGGTGGCATCCACCTTTAACCACAGCACTCCAGGGGCTGGGGCAAGAAGATCACAGTGAATTCAAGGTTAGCCTGAACTACATAAAAGGCTGTCTCAAAACTAAATTAAATAAATACATAGTATTCTATACTATTATACTGTAAACTACAAAAACACAATTACTTTTCTAGCTTTCCATGCTTAACCCAGAACTCATGTACATACAAGGATCAAAATGACCTATTAAAGAATCATAAACCACACTAACACCAATAAAGGTCAGCGCACACTACAGTACCCTAACCTGTCAAGATTCAACACTGACAGGAATGAGTTTATCTACAACATGTCCTATCACCACTCATTTGGTAACAGTAAAGTTACTGTTACTGCTATTTCTTATAATCTGACACTTTAATTATACAAATAAATATCTTAGGGTTTTTTTTTTTTTGGGTTTTTTTTTTTTTAATTATCACACTCAAGAGCAGTAACTAAAAAAACACTCTGGAAAGCATACTTTTAACACACACCTGAATTAAGTGCTTTTGATAACTGTTAACAAATATAAAACTACAGGGGAAAAAAAAAATCACTGTTCAATGATGTTAATTTTATTACTACTATACTATCAAAACACTGGAAATACATAAATAACCAAGAACAGGGAGTGGCTTAATAAACTGACATATCCATTAGGCGCAGAAGAAAATACACAGGCTCCTAACACTGGCTTGCCCTGATGAGGCGGGCAGGAGGGCAGGCGGAGGAAATAAGGACAAAAGACACTGCAGGAAACTGAGCATAGGTGTATTAAGAGAAAATAATACTGCACACGTGTAAGAATTGCCCTGCACTGAGCAAAGGAACAAAAGAGGACATGAATTTATAAAAACACTGATTTCATTTGCAACTAAGAGAAACTTACCTTGAAATTTCATTATTTTATCTTTTCCATTTTTTGGTGGGGGGAGGGAGAGTACAAGGAATCAAAACCAGGACCTTGCACTTGGCAGGCAGGTGCTTGTTCCACTGATCTATATCCCCAACCCCTAAAATTTCATTATTTTAATACAATGTGACACCAAAATAACATAAAAATAAAAATGCTAAAAAATACCAAAACAAGAAAAAATAAAATAACATAAAAATAATATGACAAAGAACAGATGTTTTTCTTATAAAAACCCTAATATCTAAGACTCTTGAATGACTCACTTACAGGAACGACATGCACTGCCCACCACTAACAGCCATCCAAAGCTGCGGGAAAGGTGGGCCCAGACTCACCTGCTATACAACTGTCATCAGATATTGGTACATCCAGATAAATAAATCCTTTGTTATATAAACCTACAGAAGGAAAAGCATTTTGTCTTAGATGGAACATTATATGAGTACTTTTAAAAAATGATTCTTGCACTTCTAAAAAGATTCTTACAACTAGGAAGACAGTATGCAATGTGTTAATTATTGAAACTGTCTACCAATTTGATTTGAAACTGTCTCATTGCTACTTGTCTGTCAATAAAATTATGGGAAAAAAAAAGATTTTTAGAAACTGAATGTTAAGTGAACAAAAGGAAAATAAAAGACCAAAATCGTATTAAAAATTTTTAAATCTTTGTTTCCTCCACACGCTTAGAATCATAAAATTTTTCTTTCCATTCATTTGTATAAACTTCTAGTGTATGTAACTAATTATAGACACACTGGAAAACAAAAGACTAGGATCATATTTCCAACAATAGCACGCCTTAGCAAACAGTACTACTTAGGGATGACAAGACAGCTCAGCACAGGGACCAGGGTTTGATCCCTGGCACTGGCCCTGCCCCCAGATACACTGAGCTGGCCACTGAGACCCAGCGCGGTGGCGCATGCCTGTAATCCCAGTGCTGGGGAGGTTGAAAACAGGAGGATCACTATGAGTCCAAGCTGCGTAGTGAGACCTTGTACCAAATACATTAAAAAAAAAAAGTACTATTTGTCACCAATTGCTATTGATCATGGATAGTTTAAAATAAGTTTTTACGTTGGCAAAATACCATTTCTACTAACCACTTACTATGTACTACATTGTAATCTAGTGATCCCGAGAGTTGAGGGCCTGAATCGATGATCTTATCAATAGCGCATTTCTCAGGTAAAGTGCATATCTAAGAAAAACAAAATATTCTCAGTTAAGTTTTGCCCAAATTAACCCATTTAGTCTCCCAAAGCCTAGCTGCATTCAACAATTAGATGTCAGTAGTTGAATAACTATAAAGTCTTTTCACTCATCACTACAGAATCCAAACCAAAAAGAAGAAAACCTGTGTGCACAGCCATGACCTAAGATGAAAATATGCTACCAGAAGAATTTCGGGACCTAAGTCAGAGATATGCCCGTATTTGCCGTGAGTAACAAGTGCTCGCTATCAAGCACCACTACTTAGTCCTCTTCTCTGAACGGGAGTCCCAGCACATCTCATTCTGAATCTTTTAAATGGACACTATCAGTGACATGAAGATTCACCAGCTCATGACAGTCTCACAGCACCACGAGGAAGTATGTAGTTACACTGAAGTACAATTTCTAACTCCACTAATTGATTTTAACAGGCCCTCCAAAGAAAAATCCCTAACAGACCCCAAGAGGTCATATGCTAATTCATCTTCCCTCCACTACACACACCATGCCCTGGCCTCCAGGTGTCCTCATCACCTGTCCCCCTTTCCTCTAAACCATCATCCCTCACAAAAGTTACAAAGCTTATATCAAACACGGCTATACTACATTTTATTTCCCTTCATTTTAACACTATCAATCCAGCAAAGCACTACTTATTTTACTACAGTGGCTCACACAGTGATTAACATGCAGGTTGCCAATCAAACTGCTTGGGTCACCTTTTAGAGCGAGTATGCAAACTGCAACCCAAAATCCACTTATTGTATTTATTGCAAAAAGCCAACTGAAATTAAACCTGAATATTGAGGTTTTAGCTTAGAAAAAATAACTCACACACTAACATCTTTTGTCTAAAACGAAAAACGACACGTCATAATACATTCACCATCACTGGCCTAAGTTAGAAGCAGTTGCCCACCACACTACCATATGCTCTGAGCTGTTAAATTAACTGGTCTATGCTCATTTTCCTCATCTGGAAAATGGAGAACAAAATTATCCCTTCCCCTGGGGTTGTCATAAGAATTGAGTACAATGATACTAAAAAAGTTGGCACGGCCATATCCTTGACGTCGCTAACTACGGCTTCGTATGTCACTGTACAGAAAATGTCTAACACCCCCAGATTACTGTACCTGAACTGAGTCAAATCTTCCTCATCTTTAAAGATTCTCTTAGAAACTCCAAGAATATTCTAGCCTGTTAAGATCACTTTGAACTTTTAATTTGGTTTTCTGCAGGAGAATCAATGCCATTGCCTTCTAAAAATACTATTACAACTGTTTTTAAAAGCTTCAAAGTAAGTGAAGGAAAGTTCCAAGAGTAACCTTCGCAGCGCTCTACCTTGATGTCATCTTCTGTGATGTATCCGGACTGCACCACCCACCATGCCTCTATGGCAATCTCCACAGGCTTTCCCGGGAGAAGATCACGAGCTGTTTTCCTTCTGAAAAATTTCTACCATGGCACAAACATCTGAGCATTAGCAATATAAATGATTACTTTTTTTCAATCAAGATTATTATTAAGCTCTCATGTTTAAAAATCTTTACTATTATAGAGATTAAATGGAGAAAGTCACTCTTAACTATTTCATATAAATTACTTAAAACACTCAACATTAAATCTGAATCAAAATTCACAAACACTAATGAATCACAAGGGCTGAAAAACACATTTGAGCACTACGCACTTATTTCACCCATTTACTGCCCTTGCAGTAAAAAAATTCTGGGGCTGGAACGGACAGGTAAAAAGGCCAACAAAGCAAAATTAACTGTTAAAAATAGACATCTACTGCTGTAGATATTTTAAGTCAATAACGATTTATGCTAAAACCTGGACAATACTGACTTGTATTAAGCGTATTTTATTAGATCAAAGGTTAAATTCATTATTTCTACCACTTAAAAAAAAAAAGAAAAAAGAAAAAGCTGTATGATATGAAAGCCAAACACAAAAATGGGAAATGACTTACTTTTGATGACCTACACTGATTCATAAGATCAATATATTGGTTTCTTCCTATGCCAAGAAGCCTTAGACCTGAAAGAAAAGTCTTTCCTTTAAAAATATACACAATCGGGGCTGGAGAGATGGCTCAGTGGTCTAAAGCACCCACTTGGAACAAGCTTGGCAAGGCATCAGGGACCGCGGTTCAATCCCCCAGCACCACATGC